ATATGTTTGAAGCAGATGAAACATTTGGAACATACACTTGCAACATGTGTGTGAAACATATACAACATCTAGATAAAACAGTTGCAACTTGCAACATGAAAATACTTATTGCAACATAAGACTGAAACGGTTGAAATATTTCAAACATACTCTTGCAACATATGTGTGAAACATATGCAGCATCCAAATATGCACACTTGCAACATACGTTTGAAAAAGCAGATGAAACATTGGAAACGAACGCTTACAATATACGTCTACAACCATTGCAACATGTGCAACATCGCGGTCTATTTTTGCAACATCCATATGAAACACTTACAACATACATCTGAAATAATTGAAACACACTCTTGCAACATGCGCTTTCAACATAACATCTCTGTGCTACTCGGTAGAATGGAGGCTCGTCGGTGTGTGGAGTCCGCCAGAGGCATGACTTGGAGAGAGCAGCAGCGCACCGCGCCTGGCAGGGCCGGCAGCCGAGCGTCGCGACTTGGAGGCGGCCGCGCGCCGTGCCTGGCAAGGTCAGCAGCCGAATAGTGCGCCTCGGAGGGCCAGCGGTCGTGCGCCCGGAGGTGGTAGGCGAGCGGATAAGAGCGATAGAAAGAGAAACGAGTGGATGAGCAGTTTTTTTTATAGAAACGAAGGAACATGGGTTGTTGGGTTGACGTCATTGCCCAGCAACGGAGCGTGCAGACGGACAAACGCCTGGGGATTATACTCCTAGCAAACTCCTACACGAAAATGTTCCTTGGCTGCACGATTAACAAGCCGACCGAGTTGGGCTGGCATCGCCTTCGGTTTCCCTCAACAAGTAAAGCCCACTTGTTCACGATGTAACTTCTTGTTTAGGCCCATCCCCAATACTCACTGGATGCAGTACTGTGCTACATGCGGACCACTGCCCAGTTTGAATTTAAGAGCTTTGACTTTAAGTAGATGTACAGTACACCATATATAAATTATAATCGCATTCTTCCAAAGAAGATGGCTACTTTCAGAAAAAAAAAGAATTATTTATCGAAGGACATGAATAAATACACACAAGAAAAAAATCAAACAAATCAGAATTTGATGGCAAACGACTGACACCCAAGCAATATACAGTCAGTCAGACGGATAAGCCCAGGAGGCCAGGATACATAAACACGGAGACCGGCCAACTTTTTTACTACTAGCAGTCAATAATTTACTTCTTGGTGGCGAACTGCGCCTTGATCCTCTGCACGGTGGCGGCGTCGATCCTGAACGCCTTGGCGAGCACCTCGTCGGAGACAGCTGGGGTGGCACCGAACAGCGAGTCCGCGACGCGGATGAGCCCAGGGTTCTGGCTGCTGAGCCCGGCGATACCGACGGCGGGGCTGGCGCCGCAGTTGAACTCGAAGTGGACGAGGCCCTTGGGGAAGACGAAGACGTCGCCCCTGGACAGCACCTTGGCGAAGAGCGTGCCGTCGGTGGCGAGGAAGCCGACGTACATCTGCCCCTGGACGACGGTGAGCACCTCGGTGGCGCGCGGGTGCGTGTGCGGCGGGTTGAGGCCGCCCGGGGCGATGTCGAGGCGCGCCATGGCGATGCCCAGCGAGTTGAGCCCCGGCAGCGCGCGCACGTCCACCAGCGTCACCTTGGAGCCGAACGCGTTGGTGGTGTCCCCCGCGTTCTGCAGGCCCGAGAAGGCGAAGTCGGACGCGGATACCTGCGCTGGGTCCTTGCACACCAGCCCGTTCACGAACACGGAGGAGGCGGTGTCGGCGACGCAGAAGTCCTGGAGGGGGCTCGGGTCGTACGCGAGAGCCAGAGGAGACGCCGCCATTGCTGCGATAAAGAGAGCGAGGAGGAACTTGCAAGACCTTCTTGCCATGGCTGCTGCTGCCTAGGAGTACAAACTGAACTTGTTGGCTTGAATGCGTCGTCAGACGATCGAGCCAAAGAAGAGAACGAAGGAGGTCGGGTAACAGTCGACGTTCGAGCTCCTTGAGACACAAGGTACTTGTGATTATTGGGTACCTAGAATGGCTTAATTAGCTTTGGATGGATGAAGAGAAGGGGCATGGATGAACATGAATATATAGCCGGCCGGTGCCCCAGGTTGGCGCTGCATGGTGCTGCACAGCGCGTGTTTGACTGCGTGCGTGGGGTATATAGGAGCACGTGCGGAAATAATCAATAATCTCTGCGCGCAGTGCATGCGACCGGGTCTGTCCTGACGCCTGTGAGGCGACTCTTGTGTCCCGCGATCCCTGGACTGGGCCGGCCGTGTAACCAACCAATCAGCTAGAGCGATTGGATAACAGTTCGGGCGACCGGCGCCCCGGCCGCCAACTGACGGGATCTTTGATGTGACAGACCGATCCAGTCCGTATGAATATATGAGCCCTTGTTTATTTCCGATATATGCGTAGAGTATTAAATATAGACTAAAAATGACTAATTATATAGATTGCGGCTACTTTGCGAGTGAATCTTTTAAGCCTAATTAGTCCATGATTTGACAATAAAGTGCTACAGTAACACATGTGCTAATGACAGATCGATTAGGTTTAATACATTCGTCTTGCGGTTTACTGACGGACTCTGTAATTTGTTTTTTTATTAGTATCCGAACACCACATGCGATACCCTCATGTAACACCCGATATAACACCCAAAACTTTACGCCCTGAATTTGAGCGAGGCCTGATTATTAGTGCGTCGTGCAGGTTGTTGATGGGTTGTGCGCACTGGGATATGATAGCATTGCGCGACAACAAGTAGCGCGTGACGCAAAGCGGTGAGCGAGATGGATCTTCGATAATGGTCATCTAGGTGGTGCAGGCCGGCCGACAGCTAGCATTGTTCCGTCCAGTTCGCAGTTCGCAGACGCCTTCACTCGTCCGATTTAATTAGGGACGATGAAAACGGAACAAATGGGCGTGTATAATGTCTAATTCGTCCTCCTCCGTCGTCCCAAAAAGGACGTCCATAAAGGATTTGTGTTGAATTTTTTTCATGTTTAACTAGATTTGTAGAAAATATTGGCAATATCTGTATTTTCGAATAAGTTTACATGAAAATATCTTGAGTGATTCATATAATGATACTAATTTGTAAATATTTGACTTTTCGAGAAACGAGAGTGACACTCTTTTTGGAACGAAGGGAGTATCTCATATTCTAATATGTTTTTTTAATTGAACTTCATATCGGAGCGGATGATACACGAATGCAGATACTAATAGGAATTTTTGGGACATAAAAAATGGTACGAGAAGATGAAGCAGAACCGGATCAGAGTGGATTTAATTAGTCGAGTAATATGTGCATACATAGAGAATTATAAGCTCATCAAAATTTGAATTACTAAAGGAACAATACCATCTAGTACATAATAAAAATCTTGCATTGGAGTCTATTTGTGGCTATCACACAGACACAATTAACACTTACCAGGATATACACACTCATAAATGATAAGTTATTAGACAACAAATTCTCAATTCAAAATTTAGCACATAAAGTAACCAAATCACAAAAATAAGATTTCTTTTTTAAGATCCAAAATAAGATTTATTTCTCAACTGACAAGTTTTGATTTATCATGATTTCTTTTGATTTTTAATCTAGAGGGAAAAATTATCGAGTATCCTATCTGAAATATCAGATATTATACTATTAAAATTTACGGATAATACATATTCGAAGCGCTCGGCACCTCCCTAAGTTGCTCTTGGCCTTTGATGGGCCTGCCAGCGTGGATCAGCTACTGCCCCTTGTTGTCTACCAAAAAGACCTCGTAAGAGCGATCCGAAGGGTCTAAATTGCGTCTTTGAATCCTGTGGGTCGACGCTGTGGCCTACGACGCCAAAGCAACACGTCTCGGCGCCAAGATCCATGGCACCGAAGTCTGCCCACGTCAGCACCACATCGTCCTGCCGTGACCTATGACACCGGGACATATTACCTCGGCGCCGACCACGGTGTCAAAGAGGCAATTTAGATGCCCAGGATATAAATATGAACATTTTTCGAAAGAAATAGTTAAAAATAAAAAATTTCGTACAAGCTAATGTGCACGAACTAGACGGAGGGATGCATGAGTCGAGCCTACCGTCCTCAAGAACACAAGCCTCCTCAACGCCGTCTAGTGTGGCCAAATACGTGCCTGGTACTGGTAGTGTTGGTACTGACCAACTAGTTACTGTTGGTTTGTGCATCAAATTGGATAAATTACAAGATGTTTTTTTTACAACGAAAGAAGAATTATATTATATTAAATTATAGCTGGGTACGTCGACACTATCATAAATTACAACGAAAGAAGAATTATATATCTGAATAGTTGTTTCATGGTGGGTAGACGGTAGAGTGAGCTCAAGAATACGACGGAGCGACGCTGTCTGCCCTCTGCCGGCCTGCACCAGCTCGGCCGTCCATCTAAAATTCTGAATAACAATCAAAATCCATCGAATCGATGGAGGCCACTCGCTTTGCGTCATGCATGCGGTACGTGTGTCGCAGACTCGCACATTGCTATCCAGCACGCACGACCCCATCAAAAACTAATCTGCCCGGTAACTCAAATGGATCGGGTCGCCGGTCCGTCACATCAGGGATCCCGTCAGTTCGGGGGAAGCGAATTGTTAAACTCATATGGATCGGGTAGAGGACAGAAGTCGTCTCGCAGGCACAGCACGGACTCAGTTGCATTGCATGAACTGCGCGCAGCTTTGATTATTTCGCGCGTCCAATCGCGTTCAGCAGGCCGCCACCACACGTATATACGCAGTCAAACACACGCTGTGTTGTCCAGCACACCATGCAGCAACCTGCTGGGGGCACCGGCTATATATTCATGTTCACCATGCCTCTTCTCTTCATCCATCCAAGCTAAGCTTGCCAATCCATCTAGGTACTCACACACCTGCCTCAAGAAGCCCGCACGTCGATTTTTGCATACTCGAGCTGCTTGGTTCTGAGGACACATTCAAGCCAGGACATAGAAGTTTGTATAGGCAGCAGCGATGGCAGGCAGGACTTGCAAGCTCGTCCTTGCTCTCCTTGTCGCAGAAATGGCAGCGTCTCCTCTGGCTCTCGCGTACGACCCGAGCCCTCTCCAGGACTTCTGCGTCGCCGACACCGTCTCCTCCGTGTTCGTGAACGGGCTGGTGTGCAAGGACCTGGCGCAGGTATCCGCGTCCGACTTCGCGTTCTCGGGCCTCCAGAACGCCGGCGACACCTCCAACGCGTTCGGCTCCAAGGTGACGCTCGTGGACGTGCGCGCGCTGCCGGGGCTCAACTCGCTGGGCGTCTCCATGGCGCGCCTCGACATCGCCCCGGGCGGCCTCAACCCGCCGCACACGCACCCGCGCGCCACCGAGGTGCTCACCGTCGTCCAGGGGCAGATGTACGTCGGCTTCCTCGCCACCGACGGCACGCTCTTCGCCAAGGTGCTGTCCAGGGGCGACGTCTTCGTCTTCCCAAAGGGCCTCGTCCACTTCGAGTTCAACTGCGGCGCCAGCCCCGCCGTCGGCATCGCCGGGCTCAGCAGCCAGAACCCTGGGCTCATCCGCGCCGCTGACTCGCTCTTCGGCGCCACCCACGCCATCACCGACGAGGTGCTCGCCAAGGCGTTCAGGATCGATGCCGTCACCGTGCAGAGGATCAAGGCACAGTTCGCCACCAAGAAGTAAATGGACTGCTAGTAGTAAAAAAATTGTCCAGTCTCCGTGTTTATCCTGGCCTACTCAGGCTGCATATTGCCTGGGTGTCAGTCATTTGTCATCAAATTCTGATTGTTTGATTTTTATTGTGTGTATTAATTCATCATGCCCTTATTGGATAAATAATTCTAATTTTTTTTTTCGAAAGTAGCGGAAAATTGCAACTATAACTTATATTATTAAAATAATTGTATCCCCTTTATCCATTTCTTTAACGGCAGCACTATTATTTTGATTATGTGTTTAGTCGAAGCTCTAGTATCCTATGTATTCAAGGCTTGTTTGGTTCATTACTAAGGCACTACATACAATGGCTCTAAATGGTTCTATCCCCTGCTACAGTGCATGGAGGAGCCAGAGCCAGTAAAATAAAAAATATTGGCTTTACTGGCTTCTAGTTCATTTTAAAATGAGAAAGAAAAACGACTCTTCCTTACTGTGCATATAGGAGCTAAAGCCAGAGTTGCCTGCAACTCTACCTTTTTAGGGGCCTAAACTGCTTCACAACTTACCGCAACTCTAGCGTCGTAGTTTAGACAAACGATGTTTGGTTGGTTACAAGAGATGTAGAGCCGCCAGAGCTCGCCGAAGCTCCACAGTTAAATTTTTTTCGCCATAGTGCGCCAAGAGTTTGGTGGATAAATGGTTCACGTGACCTAGGGTGTCGTAGCCCAGACACGACAATGTGTGATGACTTCCAAAAGAAACCCAAGTCTTTATTCGGCGCGTGTGCACCACGATGCATATCGGTGCTTGGGGACACATATTCATGCACGTTGGAGGCAATAGAGAGGTCACCACTGGGACCTGCGGATGCGCCTTGTCTTCCTCGGCTCCGATTCAGGTTAGGTGAGGGAGGGGTCGGACGGATGGTGGGCAAAACGCTCGGCTGTGAGGTTGTTGCCCGTTAGGGGCGGTGGACGACAACGGTGACATCGGGACAATAGGAATTAGAAGATTAGGGTTTGGTGGCGTGGGGTCTGGGAGATCCTCCAATAACTTGCGTCCTTAGAAGGAGGGGTCTGGCAGCAGAGGTCGGCTGGACGGTGGGAGTGGGGGGGGGGTGTCAAACTAGGCAGCGGAAAATCCAAAACACTTCCAGTTAAGAACATTGGAGAAATACTCAGAACCTCTTGTTTTTTAGAGGAAAAACGCTAAACACTTCTAGTTAGGAACATTGGAGTTAACAAAAGATAGGTCATATGCATCTAGAGTGGCTGAGATGACCCAGTATAAACCAGCCTATGATGTGCGCGCATAAACCAACAAAGTCCATCCAGAAGCAAATTGATAGGTATTGAGAAAATTTAGAGGCGTGTTACGTCAAACTATAAAAGCTATAATATCCATAGTTCCTAGCAAAAATAAATAATCTGCTTTTGGTCAAGGATAACCAGGTGATGAAGTGCTCATCACCGATGGATCGTACGCTGCATCAATGATAATAAAGTATCATAACCACCTACTTTCATAAAACGCTAATGGAAACCAATGATGGATCGGGGTTTTGAACTAGCAGTGTGATAAGATTTGTGCAGGCATTAGTGAATCTAATTTAATTTGCCGCATTGTACCAATCAAACAATAAACGACGTTGAAGGCGTTCAACAATTCGCTGGCCCCGATCGAACTGACAGGATCCTGTCATCCTGATGACGGGACCAACCCAGTCCATATGATTACCGTTACCGGGCAGGTTGTCACGCGTGCTGGATGGTGACGCACCGCGTGATGAAAAAGAGCGAGCGACGAGAGACCTGGTCGCCTGGATGGATCCATGCGATTTTTTCTCTCCGATACCTCTCATCTGCGTACACTCACACCACCTAGTATACAACCAGATCTACAACTATATACAAATACGAAGACGCGTTCTTAGAGAGATCATCAGAGACGATAAGGCTCTGTAGGCGACAGGCGCGCCGCAGTCCCTTTGTAGCTCCACACGTTAAGAGATGTCACACTGCAAATTGTTATGGGGGAAAACCCCCTGAGGTAACGTGGTCGATTCAGGGATCGGACCAGCGTCCGGCCGTTCGCCACTGCGAAGACGTGCTGCCCGAGCTAGCGCTCATCCTCGGATCCACGGGATTTGGATTATTGAAGGAGAGCGATGGTCGAGTTGGTGCAGGCCAACCGCCACCCTTCAGCATCTCTCCGTCCTATTTTTATGGTAACTACTATAAATATATACATGCGTTGTAACGGACTTGAATTTATTGGGTGTGCATGTTGATTACTAGTTTATTGCTGTGTGCAATAAAGGGCCATTTGGCACGGCGCCGGCCGGCTCCAGCTCCTTAGGTGGGGGTACTGTGCAGCCCTGTTTGCCACTGTATCACAAAGCTGCGCGGCTCTTGCTCAGCCAAAAATCTTGCTTCCGCATGAGTCGGAGGAGCCTGTGATTTAGTGCTCTGACGGCTCCGTCATAGTGCTGCTACAGTGTCAGAACCGGAGCCGCCGACACTCGGCCCTAAGAGCCTGTAGGCAGGGGCAAGCAGGGGCTATGCCCCCTATCTCCTACAACTTAAAAGAATAAAATGTGGATATTTTTTTGGTGTGGCATTTGTTTTGGTTCGTCCGTCTGTCCACGCCTGCGATCCCCGCCTGCTTTGAAGGAAACAAATCGATCACCTGAAGCCACATGCATGGAAGGAAACAATAATCATGCACCGCGCGATAGAAAAAGAAACTGTCATCCCTGCGATCCCCGCCTGCTTTGAAGGAAACAAATTGATCACCTGAGGCTACATACATGGAAGGAAACAATAATCATGCATGGAAGGAAACAATCATGCGGTGTCCCTCTCTCGCTCGGTCAGATATCTTTCATCTCCACGTAAACCGGATCATATGGTATTGTCCATAATTTGGAGGTTATTAAATTTAGGCCGGGTGCATAGTAGGCCACCTAGCTTTATTTTTGTAACTTCTACCTCTTTATGTGTTAGTCTTTGCCAATGGTATAATTTGTTCGCAAAGTTCAAGCAAGACAATTGGCAAAGATCAAGCAAGACGACTCAATGAGGTTGACCTTTAATTTTAGTGTTTCCAGCATGCAGACCTAAAATTAAAAAGTGGCTGCTCCTTGAGATCATCAGTGGTGCCAAATAAAATATGTGCAGGTTATACATGGTGAGACTGGTGAACTTTCTACAATTTCCTAAACGAATATTCCCACCATGAGTATATAGGTCCATTCCCCTGCGTTTCTTCGTGCTCCCATTAACATATAATATGAAAGTATTGTTGTGTTCATTACAACTTTCAGTTGACTACTCCCATTAGCATATACTTCCTCTGCCCTAAAATATATGTCATTATGGGATGCGTGCAGGTCAAACTTTCTCAACTTTAACTAGGTTTGTAAAAAATAAGTGCAATATTTATATCTTCAAATAAGTTTATTATGAAAATATATTCAATGGTCTATGCAATGATACTAATTATATATTATAAATATTAATATTCTTTTATATATAATTGGTCGAAGTTAAAAAAAGTTAACTTCAAGCGAGAATGAATTCTATTTTGGGACAGATGGAGTATACGAGAGCAGTGTTGAAAATATTTTAACAATCAAGTTCGTCTCTATCTGATTGATAAGCTTAGACATCATAATAGCATCAAAAAATTCGACTCTCATGGACACCCTCATGGATCAGTGCAAAGCATCCTAATCCTACAGCATACACAAATAACAACCTTAAAGTTATGACATTTTCAAATGGTGGACAATAAAGACCATCTTAGATGTTCTGGCATTAGAGTATATACGTGCGGCCACATAGGCATGGTGGTGCAAGTGAGCAGCCAGCAGGAGTCGAGAGTTAGGGTGTGTTTGGATCCCAGAACTAAACTTTAGTCCCTGTCACATTGAATTTTTAGATATCAATTAAGAGGACTAAACATGAGCTAATTATAAAACTAATTACATAAGTTGTGGCTAATTCGCTTGCCAGCGCCGTGTACAGGATGGTATGGAGATGTGGTGGAACTTATTCGTGGATTTGTTGGCGCACGAAAGAAATGGATATCGAAAATCTCTTCCTGCCGGTATAAAAAATGATCTTAACCGCATCACGCAAAGATCTACACAGTATAGTTTTTGAGCCTGCGACATCACGCTCTCTGTGACTATGTAAATTTTACGAACTTAGCTTTTTGAATTAAATGTCACTTTAACGTCAGTAATACACTTTTACAGTATTGTTATCTTATCGTGCGATCGGTGTGTTTTTAATATAAAAGTTTAGCTGTCCCGTAGCAACGCACGGGCACGAACCTATTTGCATATATACTTGAACCTGTGTGTACATGATTATACGGAGATACAGCGGAACTTATTCATGGATTTATTGGCGCATGAAAGAAATGGATATCGTAGAATTCTTTTTGCCGATATAAAATATTATCTTAGCCGTATCACGAAGAAGTCTATACAGTAGAGTTTGTGAGCCTGCGACGTCGCGCTCTCCGTGACTGTGTTAATTTCACGAACTTTGCTTTTTGAATTAAATGCCACTTTGACGTCGGTATTTAATTTAACAGTAATGTTATCTTATCGTGCGATCCGTGTATTTTTAGTACAAAAGATTTAGTTGTCCCGTAGCAACGCACGGGCACGCTACCTAGTGAATATAAAATATCCACTGTATTTTTTGAAACTCAATTAAATTTTGAAAATTTAACACTACTAGCCCCCCTAACATTCAAAAAATCAACTTCCTGGCTCCGCCCCTATGTCGTATCAAGGATTCTGATTGATGAGGTGTTTGGATATCTTGACTAAAGTTTAGTCCCTATCATATCGGCTGTTTGACACTAATTTAGAGTATTAAACATTGACTAATTACAAAACTAATTGCATGAATGGAGACTAATTTACGAGATGAATCTATTAAGTCTAATTAGTCCATGATTTGATGACATGATGCTACAGTAACATATCCTAATGATGGATTAATTAG